GACGGATAGTGTTCCATTGTGTATTTTTCTATCCAGGTATGCTTTTACTACATTAGTAGTGTGTTTGGGATCATTGTCACGTTGGAAAATGAAGCTTTTGCCAATGAGCCAATCAGAAATTGGATTTACCAACCCATCAGACCCTTTGTTGTTGATTTCCATCCTTCCATTTCTGTTGAGGCTTGAACAGTAGATGAACTGACTAAAGTTGTATCTCTCAGGTCTCTGAGAGATGATTTTCAGATAAAGTTCATCTACTGTGTGTAGTGTTTTTACACCTGCCGCTTCTTCTGAAGACCATTACAATAAAATACTTTTTTTTTTTTTTTTTAAGTATAAAAGTCTGGCTCCCTGGAAGCAAAATAAACATCAATGAGGAGTAGCCCAAGACTTTTCCACAGTCCTGTAGAACGTCACTGAATGTTATCAAGACAATATTTTCCATGTCATCCATAACTCTGAGTCTCATTAAATTCAATGTGTGAGATGTGCTAAAAAAGTAACCACTTTACAGCTGCTACTAAAGGGGAAGTGAGAGGCTTCAGGGACCTAAACTTTTTTTTTATCATCCAATAAACAAGTTTATCAGGATAGTAAAGCTGGGACAAGTCTCTTAATTCGAAGAATAAAACTTTGTTTCCAGTATGTTATGCCACTATGTAGTGTTACTAATGTCTCTTTTTTAATGGTGGTTTAAATAGAAAATGGCTTTTGGTCAAGGCCAATTGGTATGTTTTTAACTCCGGTTTCGTGAGTCACTACTGGGAAAGACTGGCAGCAAGTCTGAGTGGAGGAGAGGTAATGTATCCAGCTCTCCATCCATTTACCAACTTAGGGTCAAGCGGGGGTGCTGTTTTTTTTCCTCCTCTCACTCGGCGGCCGGTATCCAGGTTTCTTAATCAGAGATTCAGTCTGAGAGCCTGGGAGTCCCAGGCTTTTAGCACTACATTATCTTTGCTGCCAGCAAAAAGATCATGTAGTAATGTCAGGGGAGAAAACATGGTTATTTTTATTTTTTTATCAGAAAAAGCTACAACCAGATATCAGCGGTACATTGATTTATAAATTGCTAAGACTTCTGCAAATTTCTCAGTATTATCATAAAAAATGGATACAATAAGTGCCTACTGCTGAAGAAGAAATCCAAACCCATTCATTCCTACAGTCCATTCAGAATTATTTTGTTAAATTTCCTTATCTTCTGTACTCAGATGGCAGAGTTCCAACCAAAAATCTTCATGAAGTGTTAAATCTAGACTTTTTTTTAAAAAGACTGTTTTACTGTTGAGCTACTCATTATTGTTTGTTTCCTGTTATGATTAGAGGCACAGTATTAAACCATTGTGCTTCACCAGATAATTATTCCAGTTTTTTGGGTGGGGGGGGG